TGAACATGTACGTATTCGATGCCTAGTCTACGGACTAACGAGAAAGTATCGCTAATAATAGCACAGGATTTGGACCAAACGTCTGGATTAAAGAACGCGATATGACGTTAATGTACAATATTACGCCGTTTCGCCCGTGGCCCACTTACACAAATAAATTCATTTTGAATATTGATTCCTGAGTGCGGTCGTTGCGCTCCCACTACAGCACTGGCGGATAATAGAATCGAACCGCGACTGTTTTCGAATTCCCCTCTCAGCACGCGGTCAACGTATTTGTAACCGCTAACGAGCTTTCGAATATGTTATATCCGTCTCGCGTTTAATTTGTAACATATAAGTTTGTAATATACCCTAGGCACCTATTAAACCGAAATTCCACAGAGGCCGATGCCATTTGCCCAGACAGAAAGTAAAAGAGTTATTCCAAGTACTGAATAAATTTGTTGTTCCGCGATACGCGGCGCATCACGGCGCGGTGTTGCAGTTGGATTTAAGAAGCAGCTGGTCGTTCGTCCCGTTACCTCGTTTTATACAGTTGCTTAACAATATTACGGACGCGACCGCGGGACTCCTCTGTTGTCTCGTTCCGCAATAATGATATTTCCTCGAGCTCGAATTTCTTCCCTTTTTTCCTCGTCTCCTCCTTTGTCTTCTATCCACCTTTCCGGCCTCGTGAGACCGAACATCTTGGTTCAACGTCGCTGAAAGATCAGAATTCGAGCGAATGTTGTCGATGCGACAGACGGGTGGAGACAACTCTCCTGGGAGCCAGACTGGATAGGGAGCCTTCGGACGGATGGCGGTAAAGTTGTTAACTTTTAGGTATTTGCGAGCGAATGAGATGAAAGATACAGGGTGAAGCATAGTTCAGGATAGATCGACTCACGACGAAGTCGTTTCACTTGTTCATCGATTCCGTATGGAACAATGTATGTAAAGAAGACCCTTGAAAATGAAACGAACTAACGTTTTTCGATCAACGATACCGTCGAAATTACCCTCGACCAGGTGGCCCCACTTCGATCACCGAAATCAGTTACGCGCAGCTGCATTGTGCTGCATCAGTTCCCAGGACTGTTAGGATAAAAGCTTAGTCTCGGCAGAGCTGGTAGCGTCGTGAAACACCGGAGAATGCGGTACGAGCAATAATAAATCTCAGAACGAGTGGTCAGCATCATAAAAACATTTTGCTGACCGCTTGCTCAAAACATGAACGCGGTTCATCGAAGCGCTTGCACCCCCGTACCCTGAAGGGGATGAACCTCTAAAAGCATGTTATTTCAGATACTTTAATATTCAATTAGAAAAAAATTCCTTCGAGGCTGTTCGAAATGTGCGAACATTGCGAAGAGCGATCTCGCCTATTCTTTCCAAACATCCGCGAAGACGAATACCATAGAGGACCACCTCGTCACCGGTGAAGGAACGTCGCGAATTGCAACGATGCCAGGGGAAGTCCGTAACAGCAGCGCGAGGCTGGAGATTACAGAAACAAATGTCGTTTCTTGAGCAACACGGTTAACAATTCCAGCAGCGAAGCAGCAACTGGTTCAAACTAACTTTCACGGGGGAAGCAGGGAATTAAAAGTGTTATCGCAACGCTTATGCGGACTACTGGGTATAGAATGATCAGCCGTGCATGAGGCGTAACGACAGTGTATCGTATACCTTCTGAAAGGCGTTCGTATGTGTACACCGGGTGCTCCGAAAGGGGTTACCATAATTCACAGAGTAGATACAAACATTCATTTAAACTCGACCACCAAATTGACCATTATATTACAAAGTGGTTTTATGTAGAGGGCGGCCAAGAAATAAGGAGAAATAGAAGAAGGAGGATGGAAAAAGTAGGACAAGAAGAGGCAAGACAACGGCAAAAGAAAAGGGAGATGGTGAAAGAGGACACATCGCGCCGGTCTACTGTTCACAGAACGACAGGAGAATCTAACAACGAAGTATAATGGGATTTTGGCTTATCTCGTGGTCCTGAGAGTTTTCCTCGTGCACCTACGCGAGAGAACAAGCAGCGAATGTAGAGACTGCTCGATACGTGAGACCACATTAATTACCGCTTCGTTCCGAGAACCAACAAGTTTCCCTACGACCATCCCCTATTCTCCAAACCATCCTCGCGGTGTCTCTATCGTTACTTCCTCTTCGATGTATTTTGTCCTTTGCTGTCGTCATCCGGCGGCTTCCCCTTTTCTCTGCCCTCTCGATGATGAAGCTCCACTGATCCTCTTTCACCTTCGTCCCGAATTCACCTCCACCCTTGAGAAAAACTTCTCGAAACGAAACAGCAGGGCCAATTGTCTACCAGCGAAAATCTAACTAAACGTAGACTAATTGTTCCATAAAGAAACCAAGTCTGAAATACTGCTGAAATGGGTGTTGTTATTGTTTCATCCGAGTTTCGAGCATGTACATAATACTCCTAAACGAAAATATACCGATCGTAAATTTCGGTGTGGTTTAGTGGGCCGGGATCTTGGCATTAACACTTCGAATAGCTAACAAGCATGAGTCGAGAACGGGGGCTAAAGTGCAAGAGGGACGCGAAGAAGAGACCCGCGACGCATTTCAATGGATCTCGGTGCCAGAACATATTCCTCGACACAACCAGATGCAGCTCGTACACGTGCAACGTGCCGCGAGTGTGTCTCTGTAAGCTTACACGATACGATCGTGAGCCGAGCGACCACGCGACCGTATACAGGTATACGAGTACACGTAGACGGGACGCGCGCGAACACACACGGCTCCCAGAGAGAAGCTACTCCATATTCCGTGCTGGAAAGTGGCACTGCAGCCTTCCTCCCGCAGGCGCTTCGTGACGAGGAAACCCGGAAAAACAGTCACGTTTATCATCGAGCTCCGCGAACGCATCCGGATGAACCTACCCAGAGATATAAGCGCAAGAAAACGGGCAGCGCGTAAGGATAAAGTGCTCCTCTAATGTACGGATCTACAACGACTCGTTTCCGTCACCGAGAAAGATGTTATAGGTCAGGGATGTTGCAACTTCAGCAGTAACAACCATCTAGGAACGTACATGTGCATTCAAGTAAGCTCCTACACAAATTCAATTCTTATTAATCAAATGCGCCTGCCCTCTCTCCCTTTCTCTTCCTTCTTTGTTCGATACGTATTTTCGAAAATAATATCCGCGGAGCCTCGAAGAATTTAACGGCAAATGTAAAATTTTAATCTGCGAATTTTCAGTAAGCCGATGTTTTGTTAACGTTTATAAGAAGAGTACAGGTACTTAATGGTATATATGTTGGTACGTTCACTAATACGAGAAGGAGAAGAGGGCAGTTACCCTAGTCTCCGACGACGAAAGTGGTTCCCTAGCACGCTTAGTACGGCTTCGTGATGACGAAACTCAGAAAAATAATCCCGTTTATCAACATGCCTCGTGTCTAAAGACAGATACAAGATTTCGCGATTGTACGGTTTGAGTTCATTCAACCGATTCAAATTCGACTCGTCCCCCATTTTCGAAAAAAACACGCGTACATACATCGGTTGTTAAATGAAGGTATAACCATGAAAAGGTTTTAGTGCACCGACATATCACATATCGCGGTAATCTTCTTCCGTAAAAGGGACCAAACCGAACGAATTGATCCGTTCGTTCGACGGATCCATTAGATTGATTTTTCATCAGAATTATTTGTCGGTCCCCGTCCAGTGAACGACAGTTCGAAATACTGGACGAGAGGGTAGAAATTGTGTTTCGGCGAGATCCGGGGCAAAGGAGAGCCCGTTTAGAAGGGCGTAGGAGCCACGAGGAGGCGGAGAGTCCGTGCAGAACCGTCTTTTTCTACTGTCAAGTGCAACGAACAGGGCCTGCGCCATAATGGGCCGTTCACAGTGCGCAGCTACGCTCGTCCAGCCTAGTGCATGCGCAGTGGTATATTGATCCCGGAAAATCTGAGATACAGGTAACATCATCCAGTGGTCCATTGGCTGTACACAATGTCATTTCTGTTCTTCGGTTTTCCGGCGTTTCGTGTCCGAAACGAGACCAAACTGCGTCAGTAATGCGAAACAGCGCAACGATTCTTCGTTACGTCCTCGATCGGTTCGTGTATCGTGAATATGAAGATTCGTAGGAACCGCGTTAGATTATGATATTCTTGGGAACACACGGGATCGAATCTGTTAGAAAGCGTGCTCCGGAGGAGCCTGAAGAAAGTCGAATTGCAAGTAGGTACGTAGTGACTTAATCAACTCTGTCGTAAATAAATATTGGCCGTAACAAATCATCGATTTCGTGAATCGACCAAATGTATACCATATAGGTTCCCGTCTCGCAACGAGTGACTGTTGGAAATACAAAATTCACTTAGAGAATATTATTGCAAATCCACGCTTCGATCCACTACCATTAAAAATTCGTGTGCTACAGCATAAAATAACGTAAAGTACCTACGACTTTTAAAGCCGGTACGTTACATGCGCAACACTGTAAACAACTGTATTGCTACGCGTTAACTTTTATCCATAAGAATAGACATACCCATTATAATAATGGCAGGAAGCTAAAAAGGTACAGTGTACAAAGTTTATTTCATCGAACCGCTAACACAGACATTATTCTAAAGCGAATCTTTATTTGGGAAATCGAAAACCCAAAGTGATCTCGCGTATGTGCGACACACAGAGAAAATTTCATAACCGTAGCTCGTTTCAATAGAGAATTAATACGTATAAACGGCAGTTAACGCAACAGGTTTGTAATTCCGCGAGTAGCAACAGCTCGCAGAGCTGGATTAAGCTATCGACGGTCACGCTAGAAGCAGAGTGAATTTTCATTTGTATTTTACTCCCGACTTTAGTCGTTACTTTGAACCCTCGAAAATTGTATATCTTTCCTGTATTCAATTAATTCAATATTTTAGGCATGTTGATCAATTGTAATGACGAACTTGTATAACGAACAACAGAAAGCCAGCCAGCTGAATCCCTCAAGATCTAGACGCTCACGGTTTTCACGGAATGCTACTGCAAACGATCATCTTGATCCTCTCGGCAAGGATATGCTACAGCAATCCCGACGCCAAGAGACTGTACGATGACCTGCTCTCCAATTATAATCGACTGATTCGCCCCGTTCCCAACAACACAGACACCGTAGTTGTTAAGCTAGGGCTACGACTCTCGCAGCTTATAGATCTCGTATGTAACTCACGTAGGTAAATCACACAATTTCCACCATGCCAAAAATAACCAAATACACATTCAATGTTTTCAGAATTTAAAAGATCAAATTCTTACGACGAATGTTTGGCTCGAACACGTAAGTCCGCTTACAATTAGATACATGTACTGTAATACTTGCATATATGTATATACATACATATAGGTATTATAGTTACGTAGGTGGAGGAGGATATCGTTGAAGACGCCATCTTAACAAATACAAACATTTTCTAGGAATGGCAAGATCACAAGTTTATGTGGGATCCAGCGGAATACGGAGGTGTCACTGAACTCTACGTGCCCAGCGAACATATATGGCTTCCCGACATTGTCCTTTACAACAAGTGAGTAATCAATATCCAATCTGTAAACAACTTCGCTTAATGCCGACGATGTTACGGCGTAAACTTTAGTGCCGACGGAGAGTACGGAGTCACCACAATGACGAAAGCCATTTTACATTACACCGGAAAAGTTCTATGGACACCCCCAGCAATTTTTAAGTCATCGTGCGAAATAGACGTTAGATATTTCCCGTTCGATCAGCAAACGTGTTTCATGAAATTTGGTTCTTGGACTTACGACGGATTTCAGGTAAAATAACCATCGAAATTCTAGTCGGAAATCAATGGATTATCCAAATGGTTCACGGTCTCGTCGTATCTACAGATCGATCTGAAGCACATTAACCAGAACAAGGGTGATAAAGTCGAAGTTGGCATCGATCTTCGCGAATATTATCCCAGCGTTGAATGGGACATATTAGGAGTTCCAGCCGAACGACACAAGAAATACTATCCCTGTTGTCACGAGCCTTACCCCGACATCTTCTTCAACATCACGTTACGTCGAAAAACATTATTTTACACTGTGAACCTAATCGTGCCCTGCGTAAGCATCTCCTACTTGTCGGTGTTGGCGTTCTATCTACCAGCCGACTCTGGGGAGAAGATCGCCCTTTGCATTAACATTCTACTGTCGCAGACCATGTTTTTCCTTTTAATATCCGAGATCATACCATCGACATCGTTGGCGTTGCCGTTGCTCGGCAAATACTTGCTTTTCACAATGATTCTAGTCGGTCTCTCGGTAGTAATAACCATCATCATACTGAACGTTCACTACCGCAAACCCAGTACCCATAAAATGGCGCCGTGGGTCAGACAAATTTTCATAAGAAGACTGCCAAAATTACTGCTAATGAGGGTGCCGGATGATCTGCTGAAAGATCTCGCTGCACACAAGATACACGGAAGAGGAAGATCGGGTAAAAAAAACAAGTTCAATGCCGCTGTTGCAGCAGCTATGCAATCGTCTTCGATAGTCTCGTCCCCGGACTCTGCTCGTCAACAGCGTGTCGGGGGTACATGTACGTATGCGATAAGAACATCTTTATCGTCCGCTTTTTCGCTTAATAGTCGATTGAAGGACTATTTTCTCGATACAGGGTGCAACGGGTTGCATTCAACGACAGCGCATAACCGATTCTTGGGAGGTATAGGTGGATACAACGGACTTCCTACAGTGATGTCTGGTTTAGATGAATCATTGAGCGATGTAACACCGAAAAAGAAATATCCTTTCGAGCTCGAGAAAGCTTTGCACAACGTGATGTTTATTCAGCATCATATACAGCGGCAAGACGAGTTTAACGCGGTAAGCATCTTCTGATCGAATTGAGAAACCGATTTTTCGGCATTCACAATGGAATATTTAGCTTGTTATGGGTGCGGGCAATAATTATAGTTATAATTATAACGTATAATTGACGCAATTCTACAACAGGAAGATCAGGACTGGGGTTTCGTAGCGATGGTTCTGGATAGACTCTTCCTTTGGATTTTCACGATAGCTTCCATCGTTGGCACTTTCACTATCCTTTGCGAAGCTCCAGCACTGTACGATGACACCAAACCAATCGACATGGAGTACTCTTCTGTCGCTCAGCAACAATTCCTTCCTCGTGGTGATTTATTGAAAACTCTTGCGTAAACATGACAGAACTCCTTAAAATCCAGAGGATTCAAGTACTATCGATTTTACATCTATTCCTTCTGACTATGTTTTATTTCTTTTCATAAATATCATATTAGTCTCCGTAGGAGAAATGCAAATCTTTAACGCCTTCCCCGTGGAATAATCAACGTCTCTGGTTTCTTCGTCTTTTTCTCGTAAAGCATACAATTCCCGATAGCGTCTTATGTCTAAAAGCATACGTTATTCGTACTTATCACTATAGTGTGCGCGCACTACGTCAAATAAGTGCTCTTGGAAAACAGTAAATCCGTTATCGTACTGCTAATAGAAACGTTGCAATATTACTTGTAGAGATTTTGTAAACATCAGTTACATAGGAACTGATACCGACCGCGGTATAGCGCAACTCGTCTTTTACTCGAGCCTAATAACTTCCCGAACGACACTCGAGGTCATTGTTACGTAGTACATGTAATTTTTTCAAATACTCAAGTATAAACCAATGTTTTTCATTACGAATCAAGTATATACTCGGATTTGTTCGATATCTTGTACACTTATAAAGATAAAATAAACAACAGTTACAACGTAACATGTTATAATAAATTATGAAACACAATATTATTCTATACTTGCATACCTACATACAATTCTATGGAGTTCGCATACTTTGAAACAAAGGTATGTTTTATTATTCCAAGCACATACAAGAAAAATATGATACATTAAATGCACGTTCTGTGGAATACATTGATATTAGTAAAAATTTAAACATGGCCAAAAAAACGTTTGCCATTTGTATTCAACATTTCCCTTTGTATTCGATATAAATAACTTGTATCGTTCGAGCACAAAATAAGGGCAAGTTAGTCGAATTTATCTCACTTACCTAAGGTAATTCGAATCATACTTGTTAAATATTCAAATCTTCCTGTAATTGCCATTCAAGTATCACTTTCTTATCGTTCACGCGGCAATTACAACATACAAGAATTCATCGAAAGTCACGAAAGCATAGAGAAATTTAAACAGACGCTTATCTCAATATTTGAGAACAATCAGTCGCAAATAGACGGTCGGACTTCTTGTATCTCATGTGCGTTTTATATCATAGTATCCTTTCGCTTCTTTGTCGGGAAAAAATATTCAAAATAGAAGCAAAAGAATAATCGTATCTCGGTGACCAGTGATCAAGAAATTGACAAGCACGTCAAGTCCTGACGGATTTTACAGTCCAAAAGTAATCATTCGAATGACGAAAATCATAGAAAACGCGAATTGATCTTGCGTTACATATGGCGTAACAGGCTGAAACCTTTCTAACCACCGATATCTGTGGATCGGTAATGCATTTAATAACTCATACATCGATTAGTTTACGCAAACCGAACAAGGAATGACACAAAGGAAATAGCCCTAAAGACAGGCAACAGCTGCCAGCGTACTCGTACATATACTGTACATCCCTCCCGAGAAAAATTTCTCTGAACCTGTGGAATACAACATATACTCAACAACAATATAATTCTCGGATCCGACGCTCCAAAATATCTTAATAATAAGATCCCATTTTCTTTAGAGGATACACACGCATACCCACCCATACACATCCACTCGTAACATTCTAACTCGAATCAAATATGAAACGTATAATCGACAGTGACTACCACTCGTTACACTCTGCATTCGTATCATCTCGTAAGGAATAAGCGTCATATAATAGTAACAAACTATGACAATCTCATAAAACTGTTCATACCCTTAACACTGTGTTGGCCGCACGTACATCCATCACGCTCAAATTCATAACTCCTTAACGTAAAGACTCTAGTACACTCGTCTAATGCTAATACGGAATCGCGAATAATCGACCGCTATTTATCCGAATAGCGTAGGGAAGAACGAACGCTATGTTATTATGTTGTCATCAAACCGTATGCGACCGTCAAAGGGTTATATTACGCGACAAGCAAGTCAGTATTCTTCAAGGAGATTTTCTGTAACGTTGTGCCATTGTATTGCATTGGATAAAGGGTCATGATCGGTATACAAATAATACGCGTGTTCAATTCACTTCAACCGCTCCACGGACCGATATAATTTTTACAATTCGGACAAAAGTGGTAGACGTTCATGAAACTGCTCATGCAATATGGTAGGCACGAGCAAAGGCAACATCTGAAATCGAAAGACTGGTCAGAAAAACCGAACAACCAAATATTCCCTTCTACCTATGTCTCAATGAAACGTAGGTCTACCAACAACCATGCTCAATAGACGAAGAACGACTCACGGCTAAACAGAATAATAACCAAAAGTACCCAACAAATAAATAACTACGCACAATATAGTGTAAAGTAAACCAAAGTTAATCAACATAATAAATATCTTGTGGGCAAGGAAAGCATAGGAAAAACGTGACTGATAAGGTTAGCATAAAATAACAACATCTGACGATGAAATATACGCGCTACGGATTAGAAGAAAACGATACGAATATATGTATGTATACGACATGGTTAATAGAATTTTTCCACTTCCACATGCCTCGAGTCAAGCGAAATAAGAAGAAAGATTACAGCGAGAATGACTAGGATAGTTGCATGTTAATATATGTACGTAAGAGAAATCTTAAATCACTCACCCGAGTAAGCAGAGAACGATGCAGCAAATATGAGCTGCCGGCTGGTGATCCGATATAGTAGTGGTTTTGATGCTGGAGTGGCAAGTAGGACAGGTCATTTTTATAGGATTTGGGCCCAGAACGTAGATTTGAGCTTCTGACGATGGAACGGAAAATGTATTATACGTGCTGGGAGGAGGATTTTCTGGGAAATGGTCTGGTGGATCGCTGGGAAGGGAATGTCCTGGGATATGATTTCTCGGGTATTGTGGCACAGTTTGAGGCGGTAGATCGCTAGGAAGTGGATTTCCTGGCAAATGTTTTCCTGCGTATTGCGGCACAGTTTGACTCGTTGGTTGATTGCCTGAAATATCATATTGTTTCACTTTATCAGGCAACAATTACGGGAAACAGCAAATAATTTATTACGAAAGAATGAGAAAACTATGCGTACAAGATGGTACCGGCATACAAGATGGTCCTACTGGATATGGGGGAATGTTTGGTTGAGTAGGCAAATTAGCCACATTCCCTATAGCTTCTTCGTACGAAGGTGGTGCTGTAGGTGGTGGTGGTGCTGATGGTTGTGTACTCCCACTCGCAAATCCTGTGCTTTTCTCCATCTTCTCTACAAAAATAGATACAAAGATAGGAGTAAACCAGATGAACAATAAGCGATAGGTGCAAAGATGTGCTTTTTTACACAAGTACAGTGTGGATCGAAACTGTAAATCGATCAAAAAAATAGAAAACTATGAACTTCCTTTATGGGAACAATCGCATCATATTTCAACAGAAGCCGATTATCATGGTTCATTGTACATTCAAGCAATTGTTCCTTAACACCGTGTAATTTGTTCGATCATTACCGCGCGTTATTTCAGTCTAGCCTTGATTCACGGCGTAATTAGGTCGTATCGAAAATCGCGAAAGAAGGCGTTGCATACGAATGAAAAACAACGTGGCACGGATCGAGGATAAACGAACGCGAAAGTGTTCCTGTGCGAGTAGAAAGTTGAACGGATGCGTTAAGTATACAACCGAAGCAACTGGAAGTATACATGTATTCATGAATAGGTACTCACCCTCGCGGACTCATATCTATTTAGGAAGTCTAGACTTCGGAATACTCTTGTTTACCTTCTTTTTACGCAAATTACTCACTTTTACCTATTTGTCGTGTTACGTTCGTAAAATGGAAATCAGAAAATAAACTTTATGAACCTTCGTGTTTAAGACAATGAAATTTCAAATTATGCGTGCTGTACACGCGTTTTAGTGTACTCCTCCAATTGAAATGTGTAAAACGAATATACCACCGAATTAGCAATAAATCGAAATCTTCATCAATACAGTAAATTGCGAACCGTTACAACCATTATAGGTTAAAACAAACATTATATAGTATACGAAGTTTATTAATATTTTGTAATATAATCGCAGGTCACTAAAATAAACATGCGCGCAGGTAACACTATGCTATTCCATTTTATTAATCGTCAGCTTATACTTTGTTAAAGCATGCACTTAAAGTGAATATACAAGTAAAAAGCAACGCCTGATAAAACAGACAGAAAGAACAGCATGACAATGCACTAATGAAAATGTAACCTATCGATTTCATAAAATATTTATTAATAAGCATTCCAATGACATGAGTCATGGAACGTTGATACTTTCGCGATTGTAATTTTGATAAGTGCAAACCTATACATATATACTTCTAATTGCGTAAGCATTATAATATGCGAGGAAACGAAGAGCCTGTGTAAAAGTTGAATGTTGCTCTTTGTAATTAAACCTTACTAAACACAAGTATGACGTAAAGCTTCGACGCGTCGATGTAACTACTTTCAGATTTTTCGCAACGCAATCTTCATCGAGTTTTCAACGTATTCGAATTGCATCTTTATATTCATTAAATAATACAATACCAAAGGCAAAATTATAAACACAGATTGTATTAAAACACTTACGTGAATTATGACGTTGACGTCCAAAAGTAAACGTGCTCGATGAAATAGAGGTTATAGTTTCACACTACAAAACACTATTAAATTATACTTCCCACAATAATGTTACTACACGTAACCTATTCTGTGCCCATCGAATATTTCCTTACGTTGCGTCAGAATTCCTTTTGTGCGTCTATTAAGTAGAAAAGAAGAAAAACAGAGAACACTTCAAAAATGATCGTTTGCAAGGCTAAAGGCTAAAGCGACTAACAGACTCTGTTGATCCCTGCGATCCCCGCGATCGCAACTGACAACTTCTACCACCGACCAATCGCTGCGCTTACACTGTTCCAGAAAGGAGACAGAGAAAATGGCGCTAAGCTCAAGAAAGTATAGTTTTAAAAGAACGTTATATAAAATGGTAATATGTTGCTTTAGTTTTATTAAAAGTGGACAAAGACCGTGTAAATAATAACATGAATATCCAGGGCACAACTAATAATAGAAAGAAGTATTTCTATAATTTGTACAATTTGTTCAAATACTTAAAACGTTTACGTGAAAAAGAATAACCTTTTAGTGAACAACAAGATGAATAATGGAACCTGAAAAACGAAACGGACACGATTATTTTTGTCAGGTAAGTGTTATATTTTATAGATAGATTAAAGAATATGTTATATTTATTAATTATATAAGAAGAAAAGACTACAGCTGAAAAAGAAATACCTTCTACAAACATTTCTGCTAGACTGGAGGAACCTATTGATATGGAATAAAATCTTCTAGCTGAGTATTTATTGGTTTCAATCAGAAGTATTTATTATACATGATTACTTGCAAATAGGTATATATTTATGTATAAAAAAGTATTATATATATAAAAGTATAAGTAATATAGAAAGAACTCTTTGGTATAAAAAATTGCCAATAACCCTAGCTATCAGGTGGCAGCACCTATGCGTATTTTAGTGTTTTTCTCCAACACCTATTTATTCCATACAGATATGGAATTGGTACAAACCAAACAATGCAGAGAGTGCAAAAGTCAGGTGAAATAAATGCAGAAAGTTTAAAGAAAAACTCACTTGATAAAAAACAAAGAAAGGCAATGAAGTATTTTAAAAAAGAAGTAGATAATAAGTGTAGTGATCAAACTAAAAATAAAGACCGGGAAATAAACCAGAAAAGACACAACATAATACAAAAAAATAGATTATTTGATGACAGAGGGGTTGAAGAAGAAGAAGAAGAAGAGGAGGAAGAGGAGGAAGAAGAAGAAGGGGAAGAAAACAAAGAAGAAGAAGCACATGTAGATGAGAATGAAGAGCAAGAAGATCAGGAAGAAGATGAGGAAGAAGAAGAGAAAACAGATGAAGATTATTGCGACACAAATTCAGAACCTCTTAATCAGAAAGCAACAAAACCAATTAGAATTGACAGAAATACAGGTTTTAATAAACTCGTTAAAGTAGAAGAGCATAACTCAAGAAGTAACTGTTTAACGTGTTCAATATGCTTGGGAAGTAAACTGTCTGATGATAAAGAAGGAGTTGAAATTGATGAGGAGGAAACTGATGAAGATGAAGAAGAACAAGAAGATGAATCTGTTGATGATGAAGAGGAGGATGAAGATGACTATGTGACACGTTTAGAAAATTCAGTTTTTCAAGAGAAATTAAGCGAATACATGAAGGAGTTTAAAATACAAACAGATGACATCATTAAAACAGAAACATATGATATTGTTAAGTCAGAAACGCATGAGAGCATGTGTCAATCTATAAAGCCTGTTCCACTTAGACGTAGAAATTCGAGAAGGAACTCCATCCTTCCGGGATCTGAAATGTGTAACGAAATATTAGCTTTTAACAATACTTTAAAATCTAATCAAAATCAAATGCTGAATAACAAAATAATAAAGTTCCCTGCTACAGAAATTGTACATACTCATATACCTGAACCAATTACTAAACAAAATCTTGCAAATGATAAGAATAATTCTACAGATTTATTACTTGATGTTCTTGAAATAAAGAAATTACCAGAACCCATAAAAGAACTAAAAACTTTGATGTCAAACAATGATGCAAAGCAAACTCAAGTAAAGAAAATTCAGTTGAGTTTAGAAGAAGCCCATAAACATATGAAAGAGCTTAAATCGACTGTCAAAATTAGACTATTTATGATGGAAGATTTAGCAAAGAATGAAAACACAGTTGCTAAGGCTGCGGCAAAATTTGAACATAAAAGGAGTGAATTGGAAAAAAAGTGTTCGCAAACAGAATCAAAAATATCTGAAGTAAAATCTAGGCCTGATTATGATTTCTTTTACAAGAAACCTCTTTTGAAAAAGAAAATCGAATTATATAGAAACAGGACGATTTATTATAAGAACAGATTGAGGGACATTGCAATGATACATCAGACTGCACTTGAATCATTTAAAAATAGTAGCAAAATTTGGAAATCACTGAATGCCTCTACAGAGGAAATGATCAATTTAAAGAGGCAATTAATGACAGAAGTGGAACGTAAACAACAACTGGAAGACGAACTTGCAGAAGATCAAAAGAAAATTCATGAACTGGAAGAAAAATACAATTTAACTGCTTCTAAAGTCAAAGATATACCATCGGACAATGAAGATGGAAAAATGAATGATAAATCGAAAAGTAGTCATCCTGATAAGAAAAAAAATTTATTAGATGTCAGTGCAAGAATAACACATCTTGATACTGTTTTAAAAGAAAAATCTATAGATTTGGAAAGAACGGCAGATATAGACGAAAAGGAAGCTCTGCGTCACGAAATTCAGAATTTAAGGCGTACCAGAGATTGTTTAGTAGATGAAAAATGCGATCTCGATGAGAAGTTTCAAAAAGAAAAAGCATTGTCCACTGTAGAGGAACGAAAATTATTGGAATGTGGTGAAACCATCGAAGCTATTGATGCTATGATCGAACACAAAAATGAAATGATATGCGGTAGAAAAGGTTTCGATGAAAATCAAGCACAACGCGAGAAAGGAGAGAGAATGTTAATGGAAAGACTGGCAAAACTATCAGACGGAGAAATGAAAACGTTATTCTATAAATATTTCTTAAAAGTAATTGATTTAAAGGAAAGCTCAAAGAACCTAGAAGTCCAAGTTGCAGAATTAGAGGGCCATATAGAAACACAGAAATGGGAAATACATACTCTCACAAACGCATTGAAACAGACAAAGTTGGAGGCTGAGAGAAGAATCGCACTAATGCAACGGAAGTATGAGCAGAAATTGCTTGCTATGTACAGACACATTGGAGAGGAAACAAGTAGTTCTGGGCCTGAAACACTAGATACAGATACAGAACTTGCTAGACATATAGAACAAAATGAAAATTATCCATACCCAGTCAGGATACCACCACCAGCGAACGCAGTTCAGGGACCAACAACCAAAGTAACTAAGGAACGAAATAAACTGATAATACAAAAAACAACCAGCCGTGATAAAAGAAGGAAGTGAAGCTTTGAGTAGTTCTTTCGTATTTATTATCTTACAATATTACATTACATTACTGCTCATAGTATTGTAGTAACTCAAATTAATGTTAAGAGTTACATTTTAATACGTTATTGTAGTATATTAATATTTCTGTACACTTTTGCATAATGAAAAGAATAAATGAAAAATTTATTAATGAAACATATCTTTTTGTTTCTAGAATATAACTTCTTAAATGATTCATTTATCGATTGTATATAGTATATAGTATTTAATGTGAGTTGAAACAATGTAATATCAAATTTTAGAATCTGCTTATAAAGCAGAAAATCCTTGGATTCACAACGAATTGAATATAATATTTAATATTCTAATATTACTTATGTGACACTCTTTTGAAAACACCACTGCAACAGTTTCCGTAGTGTAGCGGTTATCACGTGTGCTTCACACGCACAAGGTCCCCGGTTCGATCCCGGGCGGAAACAGTTTTTTTTTCACATTAAATTTCTGATACTATAAATAAAGGAACTTACCATAAATACTTGTTTATTAATTTTTGAATTGTTTTAATATCTATTAATAGATTTTATAATTATACTTTTGTATTCAAATTTAATCTGATACAGAAAACTTGTACATTAATACTTACGTATTGCTTATTACGATTTATATTTCATAAACATACCGAATTATGTTGTATAATATAATAATTTGTATGATTCGCAAATAATTACCATGTGATAACTATTTAGAGAACTGATTCCCAAGTGTCAGGATGGCCGAGCGGTCTAAGGCGCCAGACTCAAGGTTGTTGTATACTTTCTCAGTTCTTCGCTGAGTTTCTGGGCATTCTGGTCCTCTCTGAGGGCGTGGGTTCGAATCCCACTTCTGACAAATTCTTTTTGCCATGTTCTGGTAACATAATTCTAATTGTAAATCATATTTTTTATAAAGTAACTTCCTTTGAAAGTTATACAAGTTCTCATGCGTAAATGGAATCAGTGTTCCGAGTTCGACTCCCGATATAATGTTTTACTTTTTTTTTCTTCAAAAAATTATGTAAAAATTACATTACATATTTATAGAGATTTAAATAATTTGGTAATAGAATTGATTAATTTTTTTATGAAAAGTAATGAGATTTTAAAAAACCAAATCTTACAGATCTTTACAGATATCTTATGCTTATTTACGTTATGAAACTATTAATTGCTCCAGTTTTTCCTGTTAAATGCTAGAGCAAAGTATAATTTAAAAGATAATTTGTATGTTACTCATGTTAAAGTGGTTTGTATTTAACCTTTCTGGCAGACGAAAAAGAGATTGCCTCGCCATTATGTTCCATCCACATCCCTCTACACTATTGTCATAATGTTGCACTAATTAATTAAAAAATGCCAAAATGAAATACCTAAGACTTACCCGTAAGGGTCATATTCGATCTTCGATATTGGAAATCTGTTACTCGCATAATATCTTAATTTTTAAATTGTTCACTTTATTTTTCACATTGTAAGGAGTATAATAACACAGTTTCACAATACGTATTCTGATCACAGACAATGTTTATAAGAAATAATTGAATTCATGCAGGGATTCTTTACATCAAAAACATACGCAGTTTGCATCACAAAGCATCAAACCTTGAAATTGCGTTTGACTTTATTGAAACAGTCCTCTGCTATTGCAACTGCAAACATTTCAGGCACTGTACTCAATACAATTGCTTCTGTAGGTACATGCTTCTTTACACCGTATCTATTTTTCCCGTAAACATGTAGTAAAACGCCATTGCGATTGTCTATCGGTGTGCAATTACTGTCACTTTTATCGACACTTGCGGAAGTGACTGAGGAACCCAACACTTGCATCGTGTCGAGGTCTATAATTTCGAAAAGCAGCTGTGCAATCGCATCCGTTTATCCGCAATTTTCTCGAAAGGCACCATAGAAGATTGAAAGAAAATAACCCCTAATAATATGACAAGATTGTGTTAAGGTGCATACTATCTAACGTATTACACGACATAGGAGCTCTTCGTAGCACGAACGTCTGGTTTGTCCTGTGACTCGTAGAGAGACACAATGCCAATGGCCGGGAAATCATATCACCGGTGGATACAATCGTTTCGAAATTTGCTAAATCTCAAAATTACTTGTTTGACGTGAGAGTTGTGTTAATAGAACGTTCATTGTTGGTGTAATTCATTAACTAAAATAATAAAGAATAAACGATGAGTTTCTTACGTCTATACAGGTATTGTGGTCTCTGGCGAATTAATCCAAAATCAGCGTCGGTTCTACAATGGGGATACTTCATTTGGAAAATATTAATGTTTTCGGCGATGTCTATCTTCGCAGTTACTCTCTTCGCAGATATCTACTCAAATATAGACAATTTGTCGGTGGCTACTGACGACGGTTGCATTTCCGCTGGAATCATTGTTGTAATTTTCAAAGCAATTATTTATCAAGTGAATCGCGAGAAAATAGTACGTGTGATCAGGGATGTGTTGAAGTGCGCCGATGATCTCACCGAGTTTTCTAGTAAGTATGCACATATTATGGCACAATACCGATGTTATATGTACATTTGTATGTACATACGTATGTATCTATTTACATCCTGCGGCGTACAAACTTCTTGTAACGTGAAAGCACCATGTTACATTCGAATTAATTAATATTGATTACAAATTACCAGTTTCAGACGTTGATCGCATCAGAGACATTATCAAGAGCCATTATACGTTCAACAAAGTGATCTCCCACGGATTTAATATCTTGGGATGTGTTTTAGTAATCGCTTTATTATTTTTTTCGCCAACGGAAAATAATTTACCAATCAGAGCAAAGTATCCATTCAATACCACAATATCGCCTTGGCACGAAATTGCTCTTGGTATAGAAATCTGTGCTGTTTCTGGCGGCGTGCTTGCAATACTTTCAATGGATAGTATCACGGTGCTACTATGCAATTTGATCATCATGCAATTTGATATTTTGAACGTGAATTTCGAGAATTGTAGAAGGCGAGTGGTGAACGATGTAAGCAAAAAAGTGTATGATTCGGCTTTAACTTCTATAAAACTTAAGTTTTAATACAAGAATAATCCTAACATAAGTGCGGAATAAGTAACACTTTTGACTGGCCGCGTTCAATTCCGATATATAGGAATTTTTCATCGCAGACTAATAGAGGTTGCGATGAACAATGTTACAAAGACTTTGAACGGCACGTTGAGAAGACGGAAAGTTCAGTCTTTTTGAGTCGGTACAAGACCTGTATTCGATTCTATCAGCGATTGGTGTCTGTGACCAAAGACTACAATAAAACCTATAGCTCGAGCTTATTCATTCAGATGCTTTCGAGTACCTCGATGATTTGCTTGACTGGTTTCCAGGTTGTCGTGGTAAGACACAGTGATCTATGTAGTACGCTGCTCAAATCGTGATCGATTTGCATCGTTTGAAACAGGTCGGAGGGCAAAGCTCAGACGTCATAAAGTTCGGGATATACCTAAGCGCTGCTGTATCTCAGATCTTCTACTCCTGCTGGATCGGAAATGAGCTGATCTATTCGGTGAGGGTTAATCGAAAGAGCATAGATTAATTAGATCGCATCATCTAATGAATCGAGGATCGCTCTTCCTGGAAACGGCAAATTTTATCTCGTAAATCGTTACTCAGAGCTCTGTGCTGGACAGAAGTCAATGGCTCTCGGATTGGCATCAAGAACCTCTTTCTGATATTGTGCAAGTATTCACGTTGTCTATGATGTCCGCTAGGCAGTCCACACAAATAAAAGCTGGTGGCTTTTATGTGATGTCTTTGCAAACATTTATCACGGTACAACGAATAATTAATTTTCTACTTGTCGATAAATTATCGCCACGCTTTATTCATGATTTGTCCATAATATTTTTTCAGATTATTAGAAGGTCTTATTCGATCTTTACATTATTGAACAATATGCAGGTGACAAATTCCTGATGATATAATTCCATCTTTACCTTCGTGTAACTTCTAAGAACATGTTTATAACTGTACAATTGGGTTCAAATGAAGTTTTAAATTTTAAATCTAATTTTTATACTCATTTCCAAGGAATTTGGAACATTTTTAAGTCTTCGATATTGCAGACAAATGACATCCGAAGCGTAGTATATGTATAACGTATATAATAATGAATAGTTATTAGGGCGATTGTGGCAAAACTTATTTGAAAATTTTCTGTTAGGACATACGGATGCTTTCCTTTGAGGACAAATCAAATTACGCGAAGGTCCTTTTCGGCCAAAATTGACCACCCGTGCATCGACCGTCACCGTTCTGGATCACCTTCCCCGAGGCAAGTTGTACAGGAAAACTATTTACCTTACGTTCAAGTAGCATACCCTTGCTACAATCCCAACATTTGCAGGTCATTCGCAGGCGTTGTCGACGCTGCCAAAAGCAGGTATAGTACTTTATATTTACACATTTTTATTACTATCTTGTCCTTTGCATAGGATCTTTCTAACGTTTCCTTAGTCCGGTGGCAGTCGTCAATGCGAACACATTATCTAGTGCGCGAAATACATAATTCTGGAAGAAGAACACAGCTGTGTGTATGTGTGTGAGTCTTTATAGTGTTAATTGTATTTATTACAGTGAGTTTTAGTCTAGTTTATATTAGATTATTTAGTGTTTATTTTGTGTGCATGCTCCTATGAGTCCTATGTAGTTTGTCCTCGTGGATTTAAACGAATACCCAGGTTTTAAGTCGTGCACACACGATTCGTGTGTGATTTTTTATAAAATATCGCAACAAGATAGTCGAGGTTCGCGTGCAAGTGTTACAGCTAGTTCAGACGATACGATTTTGTGACCGATTCGGTAATTTAACGTAATCAGTAATAGCCGAAAGCAGCATTCACACGTACAAACAAAAGAAGTAAGCATACGCTTGAGAGTTGGATTTTCGTTGAGTCTGTGTGGTGGTGTTTTTTTTTGTGGTTACCATTTCTTTTAATATTATTAACCATGAAATTTCATGGAGAAAGCTATTGTACAATGATACTGGCAAGTATTAGTAATACGAGAGGTCAATATGCATGATCGATGGGAAGCCAAGTTTATGTTTCCTTCACCGGTAGATTTATTACACTATAACCAGATTAATATGACAAATTGTTTTGAATTAAATTCGCCGCGTGTTGCAAGAAACGCCACGACACGGCTTTGAACAGGGTCTGGCAGCTCGGTGAAATAGTGATCCATCCAGTCTTCCGTGTGAATATATGTATAAAAAAGCGAGAAAGGATGATTAATTGACCGAGCGTAATGAATTTTGTGGGCAACGAGATCACGGCAAATCGCTGTCACATTTTCAGAATCCCATGATGGAACTTCATAAGCTTATAGGCACAGACACAAAATGTTTCAAACGAAGGAGTACAGTGACCGAGATGTACGACATCAATTATTCCTTATATTCCTATCGAAAAAACGATCGATGATTAACAACATCGACATGCGCATGATAAATTGAGAAAATGATTCAGGTAGTTTCATAACAAATATTTTATTATAGTATTGACAGTTTATCAATAGGTTTTCGAGTAACGATTTCAATAGCAAAGGAAAGAGTAAGAAATGACGTTCCAGGCAGAAATAAATTAAATGTCTTAAGTCTTGAGAAATATAAATACATACAGTATGAATATCGGTTACTCCTATAAGCGACTGTAATCAAGGTAGCGTTAATAGATCTTTAGCCTACAAAAATACACCCAGGCTTTCCTCATATTCCGACCTATGCTCTTTTTGTATGTAAAAAGCATTGTGCAATATTTGAGGCGGAATGTTAAATCTAAAAAGTCGCGTTTATTATTTCCAAATGCTTGCACATGAAAGCATTGCGCTGTCTAACGCCAAAGGTTCAGGTGTTTTTCATCGATAAATTCAGGGTCGTTATTATTGCCGTTACACCGGAAGAACGTTCGATCGGTAAAAAGAAAAACGTACCCCGCGAGTACATTTTAATTAACTACCAGGTGGTCAGATTGATATTTGCAGCCGGTATCTGCATAACACCGGTGAAACGAGTAAAAACGGCATTTTCGATTGCACAGCAGGTATCTGCTCGAATCTGATCGTACGATCTACCCAAGAATGCCCTAAAAGCTACGCGCTGAATACGTAGGTATATATGTATATTGGTTTTTCATGTAACGAGCAGCTGAGCGTAATTATTTCGAAAGCTTACTACATAACTGGCTTTTGGTGCATTGATTCGCGAAGGGATTACTACTTGGATCCTTGGCAAAGTTGTTGACCAGGCAGATCAGTGGCCGATAAACTTTAGAATTTGTTGACCTTCAAGACGCATAATTAAGCTAGTATCGAATGAGACGTTATTTTTTCTCTTTTCTTTTATATTCTGAACATGGTTTTTATGCGTTTAAATATTTCGGGGGTATAGAGTTTCACGCAGATGTAGGTTAGATAAGTTGACGTTTCCTGTTATTTGAAATCCGCCACGAGAAACGTCTTTAATCTCGGAATTAATATTTTCATGCGGTGCTTAAACACACTCTATATGTTTCAGATTATAAATAACCGTCGCTTAAATTTCGATGGAGGCCGTAAATCGCGATTACGTTGAAGTTTTTCACGACATCGATCGAAAACATGTCGCCGTGCCCATTAAAAATTGATCATCGGTGATACTTTATTGGATTCTTCATTGGCGCCTGTGAAATTATAGTAGTTACTCACGCATCCGATATGTTTTATGTGGTCTTTGGCGTCGCATGGGCAGCTTCTTCTTCTTCTTCTTCTTAAAATGTTTCGTTCATCGGTCGTCCGTAAAAATGTAAATTATCAAGCTACCTTAATCTCGTTTCTCGCATCGTACCGAGCCTCGGTTTCCTTTTCCGCCTTCTTTCGCACCATGAGCCACATATGTATACGTCCATCTTCTATGTCTCTGGGCTCATACGGTTGGTTAAACGCTCGTTACGCTTTGATCGTCACTTCGTGGTGTTTTACAATTCCGAAGTATTCTCGGTCCTCGAATCTATTGCGCCTCGTAAAAAAGAAACGCTCGCGGTTATCGAGGCGAAGCACCGATAAAACGCAAATAAAACTTGACTCTTTCGGTTCACCGACGTATAAATTGGTGTTCTCTTCTCGGCAAGTGGCATCGCAATCGTTGACGACTTCGTAGAATTCGTTTCCTTGACGGTATGCTCGGCCCGGCACGGCGTGCGGAGAGGAATATGAAACGACGTTCCGCGTAGTTTGTTCGCGGTTCGATCTGATTATGATAGCCTTTGATAATCCGCGAACTAGAAACCGAGTCGTGCTTCGTGCTGCGTGCTCGAGCGGGCACGTGGTCGTCCGTGAACGATGTCGTTGATCGTGAAAAGCGTCGAGACACGCAGCACACATCTACGAACTGTGCGAGAATCGTCTGTGTTTTCAAACTTCTTTCTAGTACGTGGATATATTCACCGTATTTCGCGGTATATTCTGATTTTAAACTAACGCGCATGGTGTATTTTGTATCGTTTCTAAAACCACGGTCGTGAATGCGACAAGTCAAGCACGAGTTGTACCTGTATTCACCTGTTAGTTAAGTTCGTGAATAAACGGAAATAAAAATGCGAGAACAGCAGTATCGCTACTGGATAGTTTTGACACGAATTAAATTTATCAGTGTTCCAAGACTAAGCACAGAACCTACTAACGGGTACATCTGATCGACGCACGTATGTATGTGTCTATGTATGCGTGTTGTTCCATCAGACTAATGTCGCGTGTTCAGTGGTTTGTGACAAGTGGACGTGGGTATAATTTTTGTGAAAAGTAGACGCACAACTCTGGAATTCTTGTCACTATTTGTCAATGACAGAACAGCGCTAATCCTAACCGGGAGAGCGATTCTAGGACCCAAGGAAGAATGTCATTTTTACGTGGCCTTCGTATCGTGTTCCGTGTCTCAAACACTTGATAAATTGTGCTTGATAAATTTCTAATGCCACATACATATTTCTATTGCCCCTCCACCGCAGAAATCGGAGTGACCAAGAGGAAGGACGCCAAACCAGTACTGTGCTAATAGTCTTTTTTTTATTCTTAAAACAGACGCGAAACGGTCAGTTTTGAATCGGTGACGGATCGAAGATTCACGAGGAACTGAAGCGTCGCAGTTTCCCGAAAGTCCAGAAGATAGGAAAGTTTAAAGCATAAATCGTACAAGTTGTCGAATAATTCGATTTTTCGAAAGGATAATCGATTTCTTCGGAGAGTTGGATGTACTTAACTGTAAAGGTTTGCCGGACGTTCGAATCGCGTCGAAGCCATCACTGGTTGGCGCCATCTAGCAACACGCGAGCGACCGAAAGAGAAAGATGTTTCCTGGGGTATTGGGACGCAGGATCTAAAGAGGGACGAGGAATCACGAGGGAAAGACGGACTCGGACTCGGACTCGGACTCGGACGGTGCCGGAGGAAAGGAGACCGAGCAAGATCATCGTAGCTCGGCTTGCGCTCTCGGGCACAAACTACCCGACCACCAACCAGCACGGATTCGACTCTACCTTGCGTTGCGCTTCTCGTTGCTCGTTTCTTAGAACACGTCCTCTTCACGCCATAGAATCTCCCCGCGACAGCCCTGCGCATTCAATCTCGAGCCTTGCCTTCGTTTTTCTGCTCGAGATCAAACGAGCATCTAGATACGGGCACGCGACTCGATTCAACTTGACCAGAACATTGATCGGCAATTTTTTTTGTTTGTTTTTATTTTCTTGTTTTTCTTTTTTTGAGTACGGTGTCTCTCGCGATTGCTCCGATTCTCACAACTGCGATTGCAGCTCTATGCACGATCGCGAACATCGATGAGCAGACTATCGTACCGAGATAAAAAATTTTTTCCGCGACCATTCACTGTTCGACACAACGCATCTATCGATAGAATATTCCGATCGTATTCTTCGGTGTAGACTGGTTGGTTCTTTACGACTCTACGAAAAGTGTTTCGCTCGTGACCAGCCCTTGTTACCTAGACCTACATTGTGCGATACCAATTTACACCAGCAAGAACCCGTTGACACAATTCGCGTTAAGGAAGCGATCCCCGATGAAGGGTCACTCGGTTGAGATCAAGATACAAAAAGCGATCGTTGTGCGATCGATCGAACTGGACGTTACACGTGATAAAATCGTAAATAGAAAAAAGTGGTGAATACTGTGAGTAAAAGGAAAGCGGAAACAACAAAAGGGATGAAGCTGAGAAGTTACGGAACGAAGAGGATCCTTTGAGCAACGTGAAACGAACGAGCACTATTGCATCGCCGACGTAGATACATCTATGTATAGCCGGCACGTGCTGCGAGCAGCATCGATCATCGATCCGCATTGATTGCTGTGGTCTCTGGGATTCACCGCATGGCTCGTCGAATTCGATTGAAATCTGACAGGTGAGTTTATTTTCTTTTAATCTTGCTTACAGTGTGCAACTGGAATACTTTCAGGCCATACATTATGCAACGAAAGACTGAAAATTGACAATTAATAAGGGGTGGGTTTCACTTTTATTTTAAAGAAACAGATTGGCAAATTTTGCATAACCCGAGTGTATACGGAAATAATGTTTAGTGTACCAGTCGAAGAAACTCTTGTTAGATTATAATGGCGGTTCTCTGCCAATTAATGATTTCTTCCGAATTAACAGACGCACATTAGTCATTGCCTTCGAATCCAAAATACGCAATACGTTTCTTTGCTAATATCCCGTAACAGGACCTGATTTTTCGATCATGAACCAAGCGTACAAGAAAGCTACGATAATCAATCATGTACATGTTTCGTCCGTAGAATTCTTGCGACTTTTTTTTCCGACAAGACCAAGTTGTGTTTGCCAGTAGAATACGTAATCAGTCGACCTTATTCATTAATTATTTTATCGATGAATAAGGTTGTATCGCGTATTGGGAGAAAACAAGAATCTTGGACGGAGCAATGTATTATTATCATAACTACATACATACCTAAATTCACGACTTGCCGAGGCAGCAAGGAAAAAGTAAAACTTTCGAATTCCATTCTCGTGATCGAATAGTCCACTATTCGATAAACACCTCGGGTATGATAAAACGGGCTTCCGTAGCTTGTTTCATTCGACTCATTTACATCTGTTATGTTTGTTTGACCAATAGCATCGCTTTGCATGCCTTATTGGGCTAAGCACCTGCTCTGACAAAAATTTATCGAAAATCACCGTTATTCGTTTCGATCGATCGTAATTACGACCGCGCGGATATCGGTATGTCCAGTTCTCGTTTAATTAAAAGACTACCCGGCCTGTAAAAATTCCCGAAGATGAATTAAGAAAGTTCTTACAATTGTCCATGGTTTTAGCGGGAATCGAATCAGAGAACGAACGGATGAACGAATGGTCTAACACAGATTACGATCTTGGCGGTGGAGTGGAGCGAAGCGATGTGACGCGGAGAGGCGGTGTACGTACATACAGAAGCGACCTTGCAAGGCCACGTAGAAGCCGACTCGGCACGCACACCCACTTTACACCCGTAAAATAAGACTAAATGGACACGCTAGTCGCGAGCGTGCTAGAAACCGCCTGCGGATCTCACCAACTCGCCTAGAAGGCGATGTGAATTCTCTCCTCTCTGTACGCTAGACGGGTTCTTTCTGGTACACGTTCATTCAGGCTGCCACGCTTCTCCTCGATGCTCCAGTTCCCATCGTGTATCGTCTCGGGAGATGCTCCTCTTTCTCCGTTTCTTCATCTCTTCCTTCGTTCGTCTCCTCGTGCCCATCCGCAATCAAGCCACCAGCCGCCACGAACCGGCATCCTGTCTGCCAAAAAGTTGGATTAAGTCGAACACGAGATTGCTAAACCGTTAATTCGCGACGCTTCCTGCCCTCTTCTCGAGCCTACCGAGCGACATTTTCGGGTTTTTTTATCGATCACGAATTTCAGGGAGTCCGGGAAGAGATAAAAGACGGGGAACAGCCGGCCGGGCAAATTATGTGGTCGAACGATGGCGGACTCGTAGAATGGTTACCAAAGTGGATTACGATGGCATTTGTTCGCGCGCAATCAATCAATTGGGTGGACGACGAATCAACCAGACGCAATTAGACGTCGTTTGAGTTGCCTCCGCCTCGAGGAGAATCGTTTTAATTATCCCCGGGAACAGATGGCTAAGCGGTAAAACGCGTTCGCGACAACTATCCTCTCGAAATCTCGTTAGCGTCAATGCATAAAGCGCCTCCGACTTTTACAGCGTCGCGATTTCGCAATCCTCGCCACATGCCGCGTCTCGACCCGACAATCGACACTTGTATTTTCTAAATGCTTTTATTTTCACGACTGAACGTTATATGTCGGCGCCCTTGTTGCCAGCCGAAAATTAATCACGTTTCGGAAGACGCTCTACAATTCTCGCGGCAACCACGATTAAAACTCAGCGGCACGCCATATGGTTAGTTATTACGATTTAAAATCAGTCCTTGACTAATTTACTACGCGTCACCGTGGAATAAACACATCCGGATATAACAGATCCCGTTGACTCTGTCCGTAAACGCAGCTGGTAGTCAGCTACTCGTGGATTCCTGGAGTTGCTAACGATAGATCAATGTACAGGGTGTTCTTGTCATAGTCGACGACAATTAAGACAACATTTACATATGTACATATACACCGAAATATCTGCAAGCCTGAAGTCAAACATGTAGGTACATATTTTAGAGGTTGACTTTTAATCTCGCAACAGCCATTGCGAATTATATACATATGTATAATATAATAGTACGGGAGTAAACGTGTACAATGTTTTCGGACCACCTAGTACATCGTGCGAGATAACTGATTGCAATAAATTCTTCCATAATGATCTAACACCTAATACGCTAACCTTAAATTACCGATGAAAACCTGCAATCGACACATTGTCAGTTTCGACCGCGAACCTAGAACACGTAGACGTAAAGTAGCGGTTGATTTGGATCGAGTTGTAATTATAGCTGTTACGGTACGATGGAGGGTTTTGTAATTGGTTGAAAGTGATGCGAACGTCCGTGTTGGTAACTCTAAATTCGGTAGTTTCATCGAACGATAGTTAGTTTCCCCAGCCACCTCCTTTTTACCTGAATTCTAATTATTATGCGACTATTATTTCGTAAGTGGTTAGTCGATATATTAGATGGTAGCTATCTATATCTTGGTTGATCGACCGTTAATCTTCTGAAACTACTTTTTCAGACATATACGATTTTCGGAATTTAAAATCAAGAAACGCTATTACACAACTATGAATAGGGAAATTTGGATTAGTCATCGCGATCAGACATCGAGACGATCTTAAAATATTCCGAATATCTATCTGTCACGTTCGCAGCTCGATATTAGAATGCGAGACCCGTTACAAGTTCTTACGACCGGGACTCGATGAAATTTACAACGAAACCACTGCTAAAAATATTATGCATAATTCGATCGTCACGAAGACGTTGTCTTTAGTTCCATGTGGATTATTCGTAAACCGAAATCTGTGGACTTAATTACATGTCGATTCTCAGCATGCGCCGTTTATGATGACTAATTACGCACGAAAGTTTCGTTCGACTAATAACTAATAATTCATTTCTTCGGTTGTCTCGTTTATGTCTTCACCAATGTAAAATGTGTATGTTTATCTACATATATGTATGTAAGTGTGTTGCAGAGACTCGATCGAAAAAATTGTCCATTTTAACGGTTTCGATGTGGTTATATTTTTGCCGTTATTTTCTTTTCTTTTTACCGTTTTCAAGGCACGTGCTTTGCGAATATGTATTCGTGCCTTTCGCGAAAAGAGAGACCACTCGCGGGGAATGCGACCGCTTCATTCATTTTTTCAAGAGAAAAATCTGACGGATCCCATCTTAATTCACGAACACGCTTCGTCACGCCTTCATCGTTCGCGTCGCGTGTAATTCATTTAGTTACACCTTGTTACGAGTTCCGAGAGACCGGAGCACGAAGATATCGTGCTTAATTATGGCCAAGTATGGTAATACTCCATTTCGTAGGACGTAGTAGAAAACAGACGTAAAAAGATGCGAATCGATCTATGTAAAACTATGCAAAAAATTCAAATTAACGATGACTAAAATCTTTCTCCTTTAAACGAATCCCATCGCGGTCAGGACGATCGTAGAGAAAATAATCACACGTAACGCTGCTATTATGTAAAATTACGTAAGTTCGGCAACAATCGCGCAATGCGCTCGGTAATTATTTTGTTTACCAATTATCCAAACTGCCGTATAAACGAAATTTCCGCTTCAGAAAGAAAAGTTCGATAGAAAATTAAGCGATGGAACAGTTCTGTTCCTCGTAGAGACCCACACAATATCTACGTCATCGAGCATACTTTCACTCGACTAGAGAGTGTTACACATAATATGCTCGTTAAGAGGATAGTATAATTATGCGGCTGTTCTAATTATAGCACATTCGATGGCAACTTACCTCAATATCTTTCGAAAGTAAAAGCGCATCGAAGATCTTGTCGTAGCTATAAACGTATAATATACATCCATTATTATTATTATTGTTATACGTCCATGGTCGCATCCGCATTGCCGATTTGTCTGTTCGAATTCGCTCTATTTACAATAATTTGGGTGGTGGCTTGAATCTTTCGATCTTTTGAGATCTTAGCAGTTATCGATCGATCGTTGTTCGTACCTGACGCGAACCTCTGTTTACAATCACAACCGATCGTTCCACCGATACGGTTGATATTCGGTATTGTATTCTAACTCGTTAAATTTTTCAATTCTGTTGTGATCATTCACTCTAAACAATGCCGCAAACACCGACTACAATAAAATATCCCACGATTTTCTCTAGAGGATGTGGAATGGTGGGAAAAGGCGTCCGCAAAGAATGTTCAGTGGACCGATAACTACGACCAACCTTGACGATTCATTAATAATTCAATTGAGTTTGTACGGTGTTTCCCATTGAGTTCGGTGTATCGTGAAATTTTACGGAAATCAAACGTAAGGATCGGTGCTTCCTGGATCGCTAGATTCTTCGAAGGAAGGGATCCCATGCTTAGTTTCATACTACATTCGGATGTCCTAGTTCCAATGTTTTCCATCCGTTTACAATTCATTACTAGCGCTCCTGTTAGGATTGGACATCATACTTAAAAATAAGCGTGTATATTCCTGGTCTTAGATATTAACAATGTGAACAAATTAGATAAGCAGTATTCTTACCCTGGTAAATTGTTGAGTGGGACGTGTGTTCAGCTACGAACGATTGCAAGCGGTTATGTTACCAACCCATTTGTGCACAGATTTTTGTAAAATTCCGAGGGTTAGGTTACGATCAATGGAATATTTAATGGAAAAATATCGACGGAGGTTCGTCGATCGATTAATCACTCGAATAAAA